ATTAGATGTGGCGATATGGGTTGTTGTAACAACGTGGTAAGACTTCAAAATCGTTTTAAAATAACAAACTAAACATCAGTTTATATATTTATGCAGGATCTTGTATATTATGAATGTATCAACTGATACGATTACATAAACACTGGTTAAAACACTACACAATGTACATTTTGTACAAAGTGATTGAGGACCCGAATTCATTTATAAAGTTAAGACCAATGGAATATTACGGCAAGATTCAGAGTTTTGTTGTATTTGTAACAAAAACATGGTCTGTGATGTTAAAAGCCTAAACCACAAAGAGAACGAAACCTGATTCTAAATATTACAATACATCTTCTTCATAGTTTCGACCTCATAGATAACAAAAAATGTTATTATACCAATATTTTTTTCTCGTCATAGCTTCATGTGGTTTAGTTTTTATTTGTGGAAAAAAAACTACTCCACACACATATTTGGAAGAAAACATAGCTAAACATTTTCTGGTAATGACTTACTGATTGATATTAAGAAGTGTATAATTGACCAGGGAATTCTGGATTAATGGTTGTTAAAAAACGTTTTTGAGTTTCTATTAGTTTATAATGAATCACTGCTTACCTGGGTTACTTCAGTGAACAATGCCACAAAAAGGCTATTCAAATTGTTGAAGTGGTCTCAGTTGACAATCCATCAAGCTTGTAAATGCAATAATGGTTTTATATCGAAAACGAAGTTTCTATATTTAGGAGTACAAGGGACCTGACAAATTTGCCTTTGATAAATAAAACGCTTGAGTAATAGATAGGAAAGAGGCTTCCCAGAGAGACTCTATAACAGATTGTAAATCATTGTTGTGTATGCTGGGTTTTTATTAGATCTATCTATAAGTTTTATGGCTATTAGTCGACGCAGTTGATAAGCGCATCCTATATCCCTTTATTGATTTTTATCTTGTTTAATTAGGAAGATTCATTATCAGAGCTACACGTTATACCACGTAGCACACTGGGCCTGCAAAGGCCAGTTTAAATCAATTTATGAGAGACGTTGTCGACCTTAATAACAAATTTCCCAGAATCATTTATGGGATGATACTGATTGTTTTGTTTATGGTGTATCAGGCATACAAAAGAGATCACCATTTAAATGTAAAGTACGTTAAATTGTTTTCCTAAAGGTGATGCTGAATATTGAAAAACAGTTAATATTTTATATAATAATACATTGAAGAATGATATTTTATTTTTAAATTTTTGTTTCTAAAAACTCGTTTTTTATTTCGAAGCGATTTTAATAACTGATAACAAAGAATACTTTAAAACTATTTGGAATAAGTACAAAAACAGTATATATCGACAACATCGTTGAAAAATCTTTATAATTCTAAAACTGAGATACAAAAAAAGAGATGAAGTGTATGTTTTTGAAACAGATGGGTAGTAGACAACAACTACTTTTCTATGCTTAAATGTGTTTTGGTTAACAGTAAATAAAATAACTTTTCATTCAAAAAATTTCAATAATTGGAATTACTGGATATTTGTAAACGATCTGGAATACCTACGTAAACAGTATATGTGGAAAAAAATTAATATTTTTCAACCTTAACTGGATTATTGAAAACAGTGGTTACTTGTTTAATAAGTTTTTTAGTAGCACTCTTTCTTGATCTTTATTAATGTTTATGGTTTCTCAGAATTCTTAATTGTTTTGGTCTATGGCATATATAGTTTTTAAATTCGTATGTTTATGCAATAATTTTGTTCGCATCTTAAAAATATGCAAACGCACGATGTTTTTTATAGACTCAAGAAACCTCAGACTGAAATCTTTTGGTCTAAGTTAAGCCCTTTAAGATATTCATTCTATGTTGTAACTTGGAGAGAAATATTATTGTTTCAGTTGCTTTCGTATTATATAATTATGCGATTTCATTGAAACTTACATACTTTTCATTGTATACAACTGGCACTTTAAGCATGTTAACTTTCTGCTATTCTTTTTCAATATTTTTGTGTCTTTTTGGAATTTTTCTCTTGTTTTGGACATTTACCCTCTATAAGTCCACAGGTGAGACGTCTGTAAGTTTGCTCAATTATAACGCTAAAATATGGGGTTTGACTCCCTGTAGTGGACAGAGTACAAATAGCTTCTTGCGTGATTTTGCACGAAGAAAATAACAAATAAATATCCTATAAATATGATATTTCATAAACTATTCCCAAGCAAATCTATTTTAATTATTTGAAATCGTGACTTTCAGAATTTGTTTTTTAATGAACAGTGAAGTCATTTGAAGATATTATACAACTGACAACTATCGGGTTAAGAAAACTTGTATATATTTTTAATAATTATAAAGCTGATATGATTCATGTTTAATTTAACATACAAACTATCTAAACTTAAGCAATCTTTCAACTTAATAGTAAATCTGTTCAGTTCTTACCTACAACCTTAGAAACCTAAATGCTTTCACAGATTTCAGACGTATGCCAATTAGACCTTTTTTGTTAGAACAGTCTGGAGACATTTAACCCATTTTTGTAAATAATTTGTGCTTTACCTGTATTCCTATAAAAAAGAACAAATGTTTTTTTTTCTTAAGCTTAGGATTTAACAGTCATATTGTTGATCTTCCTATGGAAGGAGAGAAAGAATAATGAATTTAACTCACCATTACATTGAAACTGTTTTAGATCAAAAACATTGCTACACCAAGTAAAATGCTTTAATAGTTTATAAACTAATTTATGTTTTAACTTATTAAAAGTAAACTTACATTTGTTGAAATGCCTACTAAGTACCAATTAATATTTTATGTTTAAGCACCACTGTCTGCACTCTATAGCTTAAAGTGCTTGATATATTACAGCCATATCTGATTAGGGCAAGTATCATTTGTTTTCTCCTTATATTCCTGTAAAATTATAAGTTCTGTGATGTCAAACTGTACAGACTTTCGCATACTGTTTTTTTTTTTTCGTTGTGTTTTTATCTACGTATACCCTTAGAAATGTCGATCGCTCAATCTCTTCACATCCTATTAAACTATAATTAAATACAAGTGAAGGATTTTATAATTTCAAAAATTAAAATATTCTTCTAGCAAACGACTTTTGAATCATAAATCGTCTATAAATTAAGCTTTGTGTTTACGTGATCTCAATCCAAATACTTCGATTTTTTACGAAAATCAAAATGAAGCAGAGAGAAATGACCATACAGAAAATAACTTTATTACCACACTAACGGCTGGTGAACATCATACAAAGAAACGTCGTATGTTTCAGGTACATTAGATGTTTTTTTTTATTGTAGACTTCAGTTTTAAACAATTTATATTCACTATAACAGACACAACTTTCACGAAAACGAAATTTAAAAAGCATTGTTATATTACTTGATGGTTCTATATATATGATTTAAAAAATGACCGCCCATCAGTGGCTCAGCAGTAAGCCTGCAAGCTTATGACGCTCAAAAACGAGTTTCGATATCCGTGGTGGACACAGACAGCCTGTTGTTTAGCCTTGTGCTTAAGAACAAACAATCAAAATATGGCCTCGGATGACAAAAACTGGAAGATAGGTATTCAGACAATACAGATGCATTGAATACATGAGCACGTAGGATAAAACGTTAATAATGGATACAAACATTTAACTATTAATAGCTTCATTGTATTTTTCAACTTAGAGATTACTTCTTTGTTGACTCCTACTACTATATTGATATTGATTTTTTAGTCTTTAACCAATAATTTTTTTCCGGAGTTCATGAGATATAAGTCTCACAACGAGGCTTGTGCAGAGAGTAGAGTTCTTTTTTTTTAATGAGGATCACACACACGTGTTTATATGTTTTCTTTAACAAATAAGTGACATTATCAGTAAACAAAAAGCAACCACGTAATAATAATATATGGTGAAAGTAAAAATTAACTTCAATCAAATCATTAGCTATTACTTCCAAATCAGCCTTAGTATAACATGTTTATTTAAATTTGGACTTTGTTCGCAATAAATTCATAATTTTGTTTCGTAAAATAACAAAGATTTTATTTTCAACATTCTTAATACTTATAATAAATATTTCTCTCAGTAACTTTGACCATAATGGTAATGGATTTATGAACAATCTAAGGATAAGTTTGTTAGCTTTTTTGAAAAGAAGTTCGGAATTTTATGTAGGTAATTTAAAAAGCCATTTAACCATATTCTAGTAACTCTTTTGTTTATTCAGTTTGTTTCTTGTCACTGCTGTTGGTCAACCTGGACTACTTATCAAATAACTATACAATAGATTGGGGTAATTTAGTCATTTAACCATTTGTGAGTGTTTTGTTTTTACTTAGTACTGTTTAAAAACATTCGTTTCACACGTTTTTAACATAATTATTCAAGTAATTACTGATGAGACGGCCCCCTTAGTAAAATGGAGGTTTCTCCTTCTACAGTGTTCCTAAGATATCACGAGATATTTTATAGATAATTTCAGCCACATTTTCTTCAAGGTTCAAGCTTGATTAAATGATATTAAGCGTTGAAACTATAATAGGCTTGCATTAAAGTAATTACATTTGAATTCGGTACGTATTAATTTCAGACATTTTGACAGATACACACACACAATATATATATATATATATATATATATAATTTAAGGATATATAAGTTCAATTCGTATTTTTGTTCTTTCTTAGTTAGCACTCCCTAAGTTAAAGTTAACGATTTTGAAAAAAAATGCCCTTAGGCTCTCACAAAAGCTGAGATGAATTGCATTGAAAATGGTGGTCATTCATGTCAAAAAATATAATAAATAGATCCCAACAGTTTAAGGTAACGCAGTTTTGGTTATGTATGAAACATCTTAACAAAGAACAAATGATTTTTATTAAGTCTTTAAAAAAAGTAACATGTCATGGGAAACTTTGTTAGCGCAATAAGTTGATTTCCTGACACAATTTGTTACTTTTAGCAAAACGCTTAGGTTGACAGCACTTTTTATTTTAACTCATTTTCATGCATAAAAATACAAACAATTTTTAATCTTTTTAGGACTTACGATTTTTTAAAAGATACTCTTTTTTCGCATCCCCCACCACTACTCATTGATCCCTTTAAAAAAGACTCAATGGCATCTCCTAGTAACATAGCATTCAGAACATTGCCATCATCCCATAAGACAGTACCATGTTCACTTTCAAGTTGTCCGGGTGTTTCTTGGTTGACGATTTCTTTTGTACTCGACGATTGTTCTTGATCTTCAATTGGTTTTTGATCATCTGATATATTATTTTTTGGAATTTTCTTTGCCATTTCTCTTACCTCTTTCTTTCTCTCATCACTAAGACTCCGCTGATTTGTTCGTGACTTTATCCGTTTCCTGAAAATATCGGGAGTGCAAGGGGAAAATTCTGACTTTTGAATACTAGAAGAATCAACAGTTTCTGATCTTGTGTAACGTAAAGGGGTGCGTTTTGTAATACAGCCTAATACTTCCTCAGGCATGGGTTGAATTATGGAAATTAAATCTTCTCTCTTAAAAACAATGCCTTCTTCTTGACCTAATGTCTGACATGAAGCAGCTTCTTCAGATGAGACCTGCTGAGCAGTTTGTATTCCAGTTTGGGAATCGTTTGATCCTTCATCACTGCCAGATCGTTTTCGAAAAATATTAAGTTTAGTCTTCAAAAGTTTCGCTTCGTTAAATTTGACTTCTGTTTCATTTCCCTCAGAAGAAGACGTAGATAATTTTTTTAAACTTTTTAATAGCTCTCCTGATGATAAAGTTCTACTGAAAAACCTAGATGTTTTCCATGCTGCTTTAGGCTGCTTCGTCTTTGTTTGAGTAGTCTGAGTAACGTCCTCAGAATAATCCTTTCTGGTAGAAGTAAGAGAAGAAAAACCGCTTCCAATACCTAATCCAAGCCTAACTGAAGTTTCTCTTTTTTCTAGATGGTGTATCGCAGCATTAGATGATTCTTCGGTACTCTTTTCTCTCTTTTTAATGATGCTTGATTCTCTGTTCGCAATTTCTGAACGCCTAGTTTGCGAAGCCTCAGATGTATCTTGAAGTGTTGCAGTAGGAGAAATAGAGAGGTCAGACATTTTATACAACTATCATCTTAAAATTACTGTTTTCCACACAGATAATATTTTATCCAGACTTTATTGGGTTCAAAAAATATATATATATATTTTTTTTAGATTTTTTTTATTCTATGAGTATAAGCCCATTGTTTCGTATTATAAAGTTACACGAGTAACATATCACGATGATTCTTGTAGATATACTAAACAAATTGGACCTCGTCTTGCTGACTAGTTAATTCTGTCTGAGCTTGAAAGCATGTAATTCTATCCGGCTATACCATCATATTAGTTACACGTAGCATAAAAAGTATCGATGGTGTAAGATAGGCAATGGCATCTATTTCAGCTAACTCTGAAAAATAGAATTAGTTATTAACAGATTAGATAAATCAATAGCTTGTGAACAGTTATTTATTATCAAATAATTATTTAAAATATTTCAAAGATTTACAAAACCAGGTTACATTTACTAAACACAAAATCAACAGGTAAAGCTATTATGAATTTTTCAAAAAAATATTTGAAATTATTGAATACATAACAATGCAGTAAGAAAAGATTAACTATTTTAAAACACTCGTTGTTGCATTTTATATTAAGAATTTCTTATTGGATAACTTCATAAACTATGTACAGAAGTGAAAAGCGGTATAATTTATAATTATTTTGGACAAAAACATATCAGACAAAGGGAATATGCTTGAAAAAGTATCCTTTAAAATTTATAAACATGATCTGATTTCGTCTTTAAAACCAATTATTTGAATAGGGCTCCTTCTGTTAAAAGCGTTTTATCAGTACGGGCTTTAATAGTCCTTATAAGGATCGATTTCAAATGTAAAGAAATGTTCATTTTTTAGAAACCAGCTAAAGCTTTCGTTTAAGAAAACTAAAGGTAATTCTTCAGAAAGCTTTAAATGGTTTCCTGTAAAACCAAGATCAAAGGATAAATATTTCTAGAACGAATTCGGTTTTTAAGCGCAGAGAAGATATAACTCAGGAAATACGTTCCCCTTTTGTGGCATGGAGTAACGTCTATAGGAACATATGTTTTAAAACAAGTTTCTAATAAATAATCATTTTCATTAAAAATATCAGTTTTGGTTTACAGTGTTTTTACTTTTTTAAGTTGCAGCCATATTTGTGGGTATACTTAGTTAACTCGGTAATTTGCCATTGAAATATGCTTAAACTAAGTAGATTTGGCTTTATTCAAAAATATGCAGTTAGAACGATCTTAATGAATTTTTAAACAATACTAAAACACGCTATTCACTTCAGGAAGTGAGAAAAATAGAAAATGTCTAAAGTTTTAGTTAGTAAGATTGATTAATATCACAACCAACTTTGTATGATACTATTAATAACAAAAACTTTTACCATTCGCTACAAATCTGATGTGTAGTTTAATATTACTTTGACAATTGGACATTATATAATTGCCATTAAGTAACTATCACCGAACGACACTTATTGTCTTTAAAAACAAATAAAACAATTAAAATAAAATCGAATGTATAAAACAATTAACTTGAAAAGATAACAATAACACTAAAATGTGATAATATTACAATTCAAAATACACGTGAAACTTAAATCAAATTGAAAGGAAACATTAAAAGTAGATCTGCTAAACTTCCTGAACAATTGAAAAAAAACACTCCAATAGTCGTGTTTCCGACTCCAAATATCGACTTCTCCGCACTTATCAAGTTGCTCCGAGGACCTGATGTGACTCCAGATTCTGCAAGAATTTTGCCACACAAACTCCTTGTAAGTATGCTATTTCTGATCTGGCCTAATAATGTTTCACGTAAGGTTCAATAATGTATAAATAGAGAAGAGTGAATAATACTAACTGTACTAAAGAAATGGTAGATTTGATAACACTTATAGTGGAACTACTGAAGTACATCTTAGAAGAATTGTTAACGCAGTTATACAAATTATGACCAATAGATTTTCTAGTGTTAACTTAACTAATGATGTGTCTGTGTTTTTGAACATAATATATATATATATCTCTAGGTACCATGCCCATCTAGAGCATTGGTGAGCATGGTCTTCCACTGATCCCTGTCTCCCGTTTCTCTTATCATTTCTATAGTAGTAATTCGTAGTTCCTTGGCAATTATTGATAGCAGCATCTGTCTATGTCTTCCCTTACTTTTCTTTCCTGGGAGTTTTCCTGTCAAACTGATGTTTTAAATTTCTTCTTCTCTCATGACATGTCTTATAAAACTCCGTCGTCTCTTTGTTAAATTTCCCCACAACATTCGTTTTGTCTTGGTCTTATTTAGAGCGACTTCATGTTTGTTCCATGATATTTAAGCATTCGTTTTAGAAACTACATTTCTATTGCACTGATGTGTTTCTTCATTGCTGGTCATATTGGAACCATAAAGAAGAATTGGATAAATATGGCGCTGTAGAACTCTTACCCGTGTTTTAATTGTAATTAGTTTGTTGGTGAATATGGTCTTCTTTTTTTTTAAATGCTTCCTTTGCCATTCTTATTTGCCTTTTGATTTCGTGATCACATTTTCCGTCTGATAATATTCAGCTTCCCAGATATTTAAATTTATTGACCTGCTTGATTGTTTCATACCCATTGTTAATCTACGTTCTGGTATTTTCTTATTCTTAGTTATCACCATGCATTCAGTCTTCTTGCAGTTGATTGTCAGTCCTTTTATCATACTTTCCATTACAATTTTATTGGAGATGTTCTTCTAGACCTTCTTTCTTACCAGCAATAAGTACAGTATCATCGGCATATCTTAAGTTGTTTACATTTTTCCTTGACCCCATGAAGGTCTTGTATCTCTCAGAATATCATTTTGCTGTATAGGTTGAATAGATCTAGGGAGAAAACACACCCCTGTCTAACCCTTCGTTGTATCTCGGTATATTCTCTTATTTGATGTTCTATCCTCATGGCTGCTGTTTGTTCGCAATACAGGTTTCTGATTATTCGGAGGTCTTTCCCATCTATGTTTACATTTTGTAACATTTCAAAAAGTTGTTCATGTTGTGCCTTATCAAAAGCTTTTGCATTATAATTCCCTTGCCAACTGTTGCATTTAAGTCTCCCATTATAATACTGATTTTTTGAGATTTGCAAATGCTCTTTACTTTATCAAGATCTTCATAAAACTTATCGATTTCTTCTTCTGATTTTTCTAATGTAAGTGTATATACCTGAATTATAGAGATGTTGAGTTGAGAGGTGATTGAACATAATAGAAAGTCTTATTAATGAAAATCTAGACTTTCAAAGTGAAAAACTTAATGATTTAGAGTGTGGGTTGTTTCAAGAGAACCTTGAGAGTTTCGATATAAATGAATTGTTCAACAGTATATATAAATAAAGAAGTTATTTGATTTATATTCAGTTTTCTTTGTGTGAGTTCTTTATTCCACATGTAAACTTTCTTGAGTTGGTGGCTTGTGTGCTCTTCTCTCAACAGCACCACCCGAAATCGAAATAAATTCAATTGTAACGAATGTAAAGTCGAACCCACAAGCTCATTACAGGTGGCACAGTCAACAGGATATATTTAAGGCACACCAACAACAGGCTGTGAGGAACAAAAAAGAGACTAGAATAATATAAAATAAGTAGATGTAAGTAGTATAAGTAGACTTACGACATTGTAAGAAGTAAGTATAGATGGCTACCACTACTACGAGAAGACACAAAACTGAGAGCTGGTGCAGGCTTATAAGCTGACAGATGCAGATCAACTTGCTCTAGCTGGGCCATCTGGTGCTACACACTTAACGAATGCTATATCACTTTTCCAAGGTCAAATCCATAAAGAAGTAGAAAACTTTATAGATGCTATGAAAGAATCTGCTAGAATTTTGGGGTGGACTGACGCTCAAAAACCAAATACTTAGACTTAGAACAGCAGGAGAAGCAAAATGCTACACTGGGACTTATCTCGTAAGATAGTACAAGAGTATAGAAAGTGAGGGACACCCAACACAATACTAACACAAATCCACCATTTATTGCAGCATAATTAGAATATTTGGACACAAATTACAGGAATTAGAAAAAAGATTCCACAGAGCGTATATACATCCAAATGAATTAATGATACAAGATACTCTGAAGTCTGAATATGAGAGAGGTCTAATTAATAACATAACTAGGCGTAATGTAAATGAAGCAATCACACCTAATGCAGCTTTGGTAGACTCCATCGAAGTGGTTACTAGAGTAGAACTACGAGAAAAACTAATTTACTGACATCAGCATTTTGCTATAAGTACAGTAAGTAATAGTAGGAATGATAAAACAAGCTGGCAAAACAAAAACTAGATTAAGGCCAAGGTTTATAAAGTTTTAAGGTAAGACATATTGCAAAGAACTGTTATCAGAAAAATAATAAGCAGATAACTTCTTATAATTGTGGATTGAAAGGTCACATGGCAAGAAATTGCAGATGCCCATCAACATCTCCAAAAGATGGAACTTTCAGAGGAAGGTTCACGAGAAATAATAATAGAAGCTCAGTGATTGCTAAGGACTCAAGAAATGTAATTCCAGCCAGAATCACAGAACGAAATTAGAAGTGGTTTCATCAGTTTGGAATAAGAAATTGAGTGTTAATAGTGTCAATGAAGGGTATAGAATGTCGGTTGTTAGTTGATACAGGTGCTTAATCTGCTTTCCTAAGTGCAGACTTAGTAAATAAAAATCCGGCGTTATTAACTAATGATTGGAAAAAGTATCCAAAAGTGTATTAACATCTATAACACGATATTCTAGGCAAATATAGTGCTCAATTAAGAATAGGAAATTTAGAACTTGAACATTCATTTTACATCTGTAAGCAGATAGAGTTAGAGACAGATGGTATTTTAGGGCAAGATTTCTTACGAGGTTACGACACTGAAATATCTCTTACCAGAAGTAAGCTGCACAAAGAAACTGAGATCTTAAGTTTTGATGGAGTAGTACCTTCAGACTTACGTGCTAAAGCTAATAGTTAGACCCTGAATGCTAACATTAGCAAGGCTAAGGATCAACTGTCAATACACAAAAGCACCGATACTCCTAAATGCAGTATTGCACGACAGAGTCGGCGCGGTAAGAATACGAAGTGTTTAAACAGAAATCAAGTTAAAGAAGAAAATTAAAGAAAAGCCCTAAGTCTAGCAAAGAGTAGTAATAGTAATAGTAACAACAATTCCGAAAATGCTAAGAAGAGAGTAAGTGGAATTAAAGTAAGGCAAAGTAAGATTAAGAAACTAAAGCAGGGAAATAGTAAGTCAGAACCTTCAAATGACTCTACACTTATACATGATGTAAGCAACAGAGCATCCCAACAGGATAATCTG